GTTGAGCCTGGTTATCAAGATTAACCTGACTTTTGCAAGTTTAAATCTACTTCCCTGTGCTGGAGTTTGACTTTCTTACAGTGACTCAAGACTAAGAGGTGATGTAATCCCCAGCTCCCAAGAAAACATCTCCAGAGCATAACTCAGATGTTGGCTTTGTAGACACTGTTTTCATTCCTCACTACCTCAAAAGAGTGTAGCATTATACATTACTGTCTATTTAATAAGGTGCTAAAGGGGGATTATTAACAATCTGGATGCCAAAGCAAACTCTTCAAATGCCACAATGCTCTTTCTCCTCTCATGTTCCTCTCCTTCATGGGACAAACTCTGACATTTCCTTAGACCTAAAATTCCCCCTTCTAATCCTAGACTGGCACTATTTACCCTCCTAAGTACTTTAGGAACAGAGAGTCCCACTTCTGCCTCCTCCAGCTTCCAGAATCCAGACTCAAACATCTCAGTTCATTGCCATCAAATCAGAACTGACTCATAGCTGACCCTCCAGTGGCTTTTCAGAGACTGTAAATAGCATCTTTCTCCCAAGAAGTGGATAATAGATTGAAACCAGTAATGTTACCTTTAAAATAACTATGAGCTATCATCTCACCCCAGTAAGAACAGCAAGATTCAACAGAGCAGCAAATAACACATGCTGGCAAGGTTGTGGAGAAACTGGAACCCTTATTCACTCTGTTGATGGCAGTGTAAAATGGTGCAACCACTATGGAAGGTGGTATAGCTCCTTCTTTAAAAAGTTACAAATAGAAATACCATTTGACCCGGCAATTCCACTACTGGGAATACACTCTAAAGAAACCAGAACTGCTACCCAAGCAGGTATATGCACACCCATGTTTATTGCTGTGTTGTTTACAATAGCAAAGAGTTGGAAACAAAGCAAGTGTCATCAACAAGGGAATGGATAGAGAAGTTCTAGTATATTCACACCATGGAATACTATGCTGCATTGAAAAACAAGGAACTCATAAAATATTATACAAAATGGGTGACCCTTGAGGACATTATGTTGAGAGAAATATCAGTCAAAAAAGGACAAATACTGCATAGTGCCATTGTTGTAAAATGAGACTGACGTCAGGGTTGGCGGGAACCTAAGAAAAGAGGGTGTAAATAATGTATACTACATTGAAACAGATGAGGGAGAGAACTGTTTAAGAGGGATGTATGATTAGGTATTATTTTCATGACAAGATTCCAGAAAAAGAAATGCATAATGAAGTGGACTGTGGACTTGGGAGGGTGGGTTGTATGTTGTTGTGTTGTTAAGTGCCATTGAGTCGCAGGTGACTCATACAGAATCTATGAACGAAAGTCCTGGACACTTCCTGTATAACTTTCATCCTTTCTCCAGGTTCACAGGGTTTCCAGAGGCAAGCTATTGTGAAAGTGGATGCCACTTCTGCTTCCAAGCTTGTTTTAATCGGGGAGCTTCAACAAACACTGTCCACCATGGGTAAGGGTATTCGGCTTCACAGCAATCACGAGTTACTTCTGTACAGCAAGTAGACATATAAGGGTTACATGAACGAGAAGAATGTTTCACCATAAACAATTAAAGGTAGGCCTGAGGTCCCCGGAGTAGAGTCACCTACCTTTGGCTTGGGAGCATGGCTAACAGTGAAGTAATTTTTTTAATTTTTTTTTATTTTCAAAGAGAAAAGCAAACTGGTGGGGGAGGTGGTTGGGCAGGGAGGGAAATGTGCAACAATGAATGAATGCAAAAAGAATTAAATGGGAAGAATATGCTGTAAAATATATATATATTGCATTAAAAAAAAGTGTGGCATTTGGATTAGCAATGCAGCTCCCTACCAGCTATGACACTAGAACTCTCTCCCAGGACCCAAAGTTATAAATAACATCACTGGATCTTGTCCAATCCCTTGCCACTGCCACCTCCATGACGGTAGTATTAATGCTGCCCACAAATGCTGCTCCGTCACATTTATCTAGGCCATTCCCTGTATCCTTCTCCTGTTGCTGGAGACTTGGGGTTTCCTTTGAACTCTCCTAGTCTGCTTTACTTGAACTAGGCTCCTGTTTTCTAGTAGACCTCTGTGACAACTGTCATGCAAGTCCTGAGTCTCGCTGGCTTTTTTGTCTGTACTTCACACAAGTTCTTCACACTCAGCATGTTTAAAAGCCAGCCAATCTTCTTTCCCCAAACCTGTTTTCCCTCTGACCTTTACTTATCTCGGTCAGTGACATAATAGGATCTGAATCTGGACACTAAGCTCAGCAAACACTCTCTTCTTCACCTTTACCCACAGTGATTGTTGTTGAGCCAAGGATTGTGGCTCTCTGGCTGACATCATTTGGGCGTGTTGCCAGGAGGGACCAATCCTTGGAGAAAGACATCATGCCTGGAAAGGTGGAGGGAGAGTGCAAGAGAAGACCCTGAATGAGATGGATTGACACAGTAACTGCTACAACGAGAGGGGGGTGTTAGAGACAGTGATTGGCTTAGAATAGGACAGTGTTCAGGGCTATTATGCATAGGGCTGCTCTAAGTTGTAGAAGACTTGATTGCACATAATAACAACATTGTTGTTGCTGTATATCATTGCGCTGGAATCTACTTCATTAGCTGAGCCTCCAGCACATTTTCAGAGGCAGTAAATTGCATAGGAGGAGATTGCTCATCTTCCTCCCAAGGATCAGCATTTAGGTATGCTGTATGCATTTAGGTTGGCAGTGCACCTCCTTACCACAAAACCACCTGAGCTACCTTGGGAGTCTTCCCTTTCAGGCTATGTGACTGAGGTATCTCTTGTGCACCACTCTCTCCATTTATGTTGTCCATTCTTGATTCAGACCCACCACTTTTGCCTTGAAATATTGCACTAGTTGCCAAAGTTGTGTGCCTACTGAAAATGTCCTTTTTCTTGCCCTTTCTATCAAACTAATATCCACAGTACTGTCCCACTTAGTAGGCTGTAAGCTTTTTGAAGACAAGAGTGAATCCCTGTTTTGACTTTAGAACTCTAGCTTCAAGTGCAGTTGGGCATGTCCTTGGTAGCTCACTGCTTACAAGACTATGGGCTCTGGAGTCAAGATTTGGGCATAAAATTACTAGTTATGTGACTCTGGAAAGGTCAGTTCACTTGTTCTTGCCTGTTTTCCCTTTTGTGAAATAAACTCAATATTAGGATTTATATCATGTTTGTTTTTCTTTGTGTAATGGGTTAGATTAGTGTCTGACATACAGTTAGTCTTAACAAAACATTAATGTTTATATTAAACACTTAATATTTACTTGTTTTAATGAATGACTCATTGTTAATTCAGTTTTATTCTACTTTATTATTATGGTCTCAGCATCAAGTAATCCCTGATAGATTCAAAGTTTTTTTTTTTTTTTTATTTTTTTGAGATGAGGGCACATAGTACGTTTATTGTGAGCACAGAGAGCAAAGTGAGCCAGAGGGGAGGAGAGGGCACACAGGGTGGGTAGGGTGAGAGGCACTGGGTCTGGTGAGGCCCTCAGCGGAGTCGCTCCTGCAGACGCTTAACAAGCTCCTGGGCCACCTGGGGGTCCCGGCGGGTCTCCTGGGGGTCCCGTGGCTGGAGCACAAGCTTGTGTGCCTCCTGGACAAGCTCGGGGCCTAGGGCAGCCTCCACACGGGCCCTCCATGCTGACAGGTGGGGTCGGTCTCGGAAGACATCACAGCCTACAGCAGTGGGCCGCATCAGCTCTGAGAACACCACCAGATCAGCCAAGGAGATCTGGTCAGTGGCCAAGAAGGGTCGAGCAGTCAGGACTTTCTGGTCCAGGTGCTCCAGAGATGGCTCCAGCCTCCCCAGCAGGGTCTCCAGCTTCGCCGAGTCCACAGGCTGCCCCGAGAAGTAGGGCAGGAGGGACTTGCACAGGTAGACATTGGTGGCGGGCAGCTGGATGGCACTGTGCTGCCATGCTAGGTACTCATCCACGCGGGCACGGGCCTGCAGCCCTGGCGGGTACCAGTGTTCAGCTGGCTGGAACTTGCGGCTCAAATACAGGAGAATGGCCACACTCTCAGCCAGCCTGAAGTCACCATCCCTAAGGGCAGGCACCTTTCCCAGCGGGTTTTGATCTAAAGAGTACATACTTTTTATAAACCTACTTAAATGCTGAATATGCAGCAGGCATTCAACAACAAATATTTGTTAACAAATATTTGTTAGTTTAATAAATGTTCTTCCCTTGAAACCTCAGAGAGTGGGTTAGGAGACCATTCTCCATGGGTCCCGTACATTGCTGAACACTGTGAGCACCGGGAATGACAAGTCTTTGCCCCAGACTCCCTTTTCAAGGATGTTTGTGCACGGAACAGCCATTGGAAATAGTGTGGTCTCACTGAGGCAAAGGAAAACATATTTGTTCTCCACTAAAATAAAATTTTCCTCTGGGGCAAACACTGGATAAATTTGTTTACAGTTCTTTATTGTAAAAAAAAAAAATTGGCAAGTTTAAACTCGGAGGTTTTCACCTGTACTACAAACCCATTCTGCTGTCAGCATTCATTGTGGACATGATGCCTCATCCTTTAGAAAAAAGGGTGAGAGGCATCCACCCCAACATGAAGCTCATGTTACTTGCTGTGCATCACATAATAACCTCCTTTGTTCCTAACCCAGGAAGCTTATGTCTTCTGCTAGTATCCAGAAAACTGTGGCAGGCTCATTTGCCAGCTTGCAAGTGGGGTAAAATCTTGTTGAGTATGACTCATAGTGAGCCTGTGGACAACGGATCTGAACCCTGTATTATCCTTATCATCCTCATCATCTCTGACACACTTGAGCTCATTTCTGCAGTCACCATGTCAATCCAGCTTGTTGAGCACCTTTCTCTCTTTTGCTGAGCCTGCACCTTTCCAAACATGCTGTCTTTCTACAAAGAATGGCCTCTCCTAACAAAGTAAAATCTTAGACTCTTTAATGCTTGGTATAATATTGGGCCTATTTTATTACTTGCTTGCATGTTGTTCCGATCAAATTAAGAAGTGTAGAGAACTAAGTAAACAAGGACTATAACTTTAAATTACCTATGTATTGAATTTTAGAGGCTTCATTTTTCCTGGTGCCTTTCAGTGTTGTGCAGCGCATAGCCTGCATGACAGAGAGAGCCCAGTGACAGGTGCATACACTTTTTTTTTAAGTTTTTTTCTATGTTTAGATAGAGGATTTGTTCTGAGAAGACATTTCAGATTCTTTCACCTGACTGCACTGCTGAATGAATTTATGTGTTTAAACATTTTCCAGAGGGCTGAATCCAGAGAAGGTGAGCTGAATTAAAGAAAAGTGATTATTAAATTTAAAGCACAGGACATTATGTGCCTCTAACACCTAATGGATGAAGGAACTGAAGAAGTTATCTCCTGAGAAGTGACACTGTTGTTGTGTTGTAATTAGATGATGTCAAAGTCAAGTACTACTCATAGTGAACAGCTGATACGAATCCTGCCCTACCCTGTGTCATCCTCATCATGTCTGACACACTAGAGCCCATTGCTGTAGTCACCATGTCATTTCATCTTATTGGTGGTCTTCCTCTCCTTTGCTGACCCTCCATCTTTCTAAGCATCACATTCCTTTCCAAGGAATAGCATTGCCTAGCTACATGTCTGAAGTATGAAAGTTGAGGCTTCACCATCTTCGCCTCCAAGGAACACTCTGGCTACACTTTTCCAAGTATATAGCTATTGGTTCTTTTGACAGTCCATGGGATATTCAATACTCTTCCTCATCATCACAAATCAAAAACATCAATTCTTCTGTTTGTTGCTTCACAGGTGATTGAGAAGATCGTGGCCTGAATCAGGACCCTTTTAGTCTTCAAACTGATATCATTGCTTGTCATAATTTTGGAAGATCTCTGCCACAATGGGCTTTAGTGTGTCAGGAAGTGTGAGGATGGCACAGAATAGGACAGAGTTCAGATCTGTTGATTAAAAGGTCACTACGAGTTGCACTTAATGACACCTTACAACAACAAGAACAACAACAACAGTAGCAGCAGCAATAGACAGCAGATTTGCCCAAAGTGATACATCTTCTGATTTCCAAACTGCTGATACCAAGGGTGTTAGTTGCTGATGCAAGCAAGATGAGAATGGTATAGTTAACAGCAAATATTGGAAAAGGTCTGTAAAGTATGAGAGGTGTTGAATTGTCTATGTGGTGCCAAGATGTAGAACTTGCTACAAAAGTTTCAGAGAAAATTTTCAGAGAAAATGTTTAGTTCAGTTTGAGGAAAAGATCATAAATGTTAAGGGCTAGAATTGCTAGTTGGTCTCTCTCACTCTCATAGAAAAGGGTGGGAGTCTCCCAGAAAATGGAAAGGAAATTATTATACTTGTACCCATGTGACAGTATTTCTGGCAGAGCTAAAAGGCAGTTACAGTAGGAAGTAGCCTTCTTCCCAATCAATCACACAAATTCCTAGGTGGGGCCAGACTACAACCAAGTCTCAGGAGATTGTTGTTATTGTTATGTGTCATCAAATTGCTTGCAACTCAGAATGAGCCTATGTACAACAGCTCTGAACTGTGCTCTAGTCTGAACCAATTTCATTGTTTCCAACATGCCTACCCACATTACCCCAGTCACTGAGTTGATCCTTCTCATCTGAGTCTTCCTCGCCTGTGTTGTCTCTCCTTCTGTGCATGATATTCCCAAGGACTAGTCTCTCATGGCCACATGCCCAAAGTCAATGAGACAGAGCTTCAGAATCCTTGCCTCCAAAGAGCAGCCTGGTTTCGCCCTCTCCAGGACACACCTATTTGTTCTCTTAGCAGTCATGAGATTGTGAGTCAATAAAAGCAGTGCCCACCTGCAGGCTCCTCTCTTTCCCCTCTCTCCTTTTCTACTGACAGCATGCTGTAAGTAAGCTAGGTTTTCACTCCTGTCTTTCTAGGGGTTCCATCCCTCTCTTTCCTTTTCATTCCTTTTCACTGTAACTGTTTTTCCTGGACTGCCTTTCCCTAGCTATGCCTCTGTCTTATTGCCTTAATAAACCTTCCCCCTTGTTTTGCTTAACAGCCACTATGTGTACGTCAGTTCACTTAACTATAGTCACTTCAACTCACCTACTCTCAGGAAATAATAGCAAGTGGTGAAGAGATAAAGAGAACTCTGGTTTTAGCATGTTTCAGTGAGGATGGAATCGAATAGGGCTGTTGTTCATAGGTTAGTATGAGTCCTAATTAACTTGATGGCACTTAACAACAACAAAGAAAAGTGTGCCAAGTTGAGATGAGTTGATTCAAGGACAAGTTTTCCTTTGACTCTGGGGAAATCTCAATAGGAGCAGGTGTGTTCTAGAGAAAAGTATGAGTTATTCTTTTTTGGATGGAGTATGCTGTGTATGTCTGTGAGATTGAGTTCATTAATTGCATAGTTTAGTTCTTCTACATCATTGTGGTTTGTTTCTATTTATTCTTTCAGTGAGAGTAGTATGTTGAAGTTTCCTTCTACTATTGTAATGTTTGTTGTCTCTTTCTTCAAGGCTGTTACTGTATGTTATGAATTTTGCAGGTCTATAATTTAGTACACAGATTTTAATTAAGACTATATTATCTTGTTCTCTGTTGATGTGTTGTTTCAGTTGTTTCTGGATAATTTTCAGCAGAATCTTAAACAGGTAGTTGGTGTAGATTAATGATAAGATTTCTAAATAGTTCAAATGTGCTTAAGGTAAAGAAAGACTGTAGCTAGTCACAGGCTTATGAACTAACAAAGCTCAGTGCTGTGGAGTCAATTTTGACTTTTAATGACCTTATAGGACAGAGTTGAAGTTCCTCATAGGTTTTTTTAAAGCAGAAAATCTTTCCAGAATCATACTGACCCATCTTCAGTGGAATAGCTATTAGTTCTAATTGTTGAATTAGCCACTGTGTCACCAGGGGTCCTGTCTTTCACATTAAAGTAAAGTAAGGACCACATGCACACATGCACCTGTTGTGACTTATCTACAAATTCTTCTTGGTATATTTAGGATTGAATCTTGTTTATAACCTGGGCCTGCTTATAATTTACTTAAATGAAAATGTATTTTTTCTGTCCATGTGACTTACACACACACACACACACACACACACACACACACACACACACACACACACGTAATTATAGATAAGGGAGTTCCAGTAGTCTTGTGGTAAGAAGCTGCATTACAACCCCAAAGGTATCTGATTTCAATCCACTGGCTGCTTAGTGGGAGAAGGATCGGCTATCTCCTCTGGTGTAATTAAACTGCCTATGAAAACCTACTGGAGGTTGAGGTACACTGGTCAGTTCCAGCTTGAGGGCACACAAAACAATTATATATGTGTAATTATCTGTAGTCAAGGACCTCTCCAAATTACTGAGGAACAATGATATTAATTTTAGGACTAAGCTGCACCTGATTCTTACCATGGTCTTTTCAATCACCTGCTATTCATCTGAAAGCTGAAGAATGAAGAAGAATGACAGATGAAAAATTGATGCCTACGAGGGTGGTGTTGGAGGAGAATACTGAATATTCCATGAACTGCCAAAAGAACACATATATATCTTCGAGAAGGTGAAGCCAGACTCCTCCTTGGAGGCAAGGATGGTGAGATTTCGCCTCATATACTTTGAGTCTATAGCTAGAAGAGGCTATTCCTTGGAGAAAGACATCATTCTTGGAATGGTGGAGAGAAGGCAAAGTAGAGGAAGATCTTCAGCCAGGTGGATTGACTCAGTGACTACCACAATGGGCTTTAGTGTGTCAGATTGTGTGGCTGGCACAGGTTAGGATAAAGTTTTGATCTGTTGTTTTCATAGGGTTGCTATGAGTCATACTCACCTCAATTGCACCTAACAACAACAACATTACACACACACACACACACACACACACACACACACACACACATAATGTTGTTGCTGTTAAGTGCCATTGAGTCGTAGACGACTCATAGCAACTCTATGAATCAAAGACCTGAACATTTGTATAACTTTCATCATTTTTTCAAATCCATAGAGTTTCTGGAGGCAAACTATTGTGGAACGGGGAGCTCCACTGAACACTTTACACCATGGGTAGCCATTATTGCATTTGACACCTCAGTTTCACAGTG